AAATAATGAATTATAGTGCAATGATGTGTTTAAAAAGTTCGATATAACAATAAAAGACTGACAGCGTTTTGAAGAGCATTGCATAGATTTTAAAAATAGGGTGGAGATGCATGTGTGTGCATAGCGTAGTACGCACACTACAGGCCCATCTCCATTCTCCAATTATAAATCTCATTTGTATATAAATAAGTAATATATGTCTTGAGTCACGAAAGAACTATTTTGGTGAATTACGATTTTATTAATTTCCAACTTTTATCAAATTTAACATAATCATCTGATAGAGTAAATTGAAAAACAATAAAAAGGGCTTCATTATTATTGTCAACTTGTGAAATTTAAATGAATACCAGGCTAAGTTTAAATCTGTTTATATTAGTTTTAAGAGAAAGTTTCTACCAAGGTCGCGCTCTCGGCCGCTCAGGGTGACTTAGGTACGCAATTAACTGAAAACTCATTAATTTTAAAATATCTACCTACCGTCCATGAAGTTGGACTTCTATTTTTGGCGAAAACGCTTCCAACTTCTACCTACAGCTTTTACGATGACCTCGACTTGAATTAAAACTTTAAATTTATTAAAATGTAATGAAAAAATATCCTTTCACGGCTGGGAATCGAACCTGGCTTGAATTATTAATAAAAATTAAAAAACGACGTGCAAAAATTTTTGGTGATGTCATTTACTAAGTTTCACTTTTAAAAAATTGCAAGCAAAATCAATTAATTATAGAGTCTGTGCGGAAAGAGAATGGGCGTGGCGAAAAACGGAACTAACATTAAGATTTTATTTGGCAATCAAACCCAGCAATCTGTAAAACGTCAAAGTTTTGTATTGATACGGATTTGTTAGTTATTGTTATTTCGTGCGGTTTTTTGTATTTAATCATGTCTAAAAGGAGTAAAACCTTACAAATACGGTAGAAAAGCAGTACAGCGCCCTCCAATCTAAATCCCATGCTCTTTCCGCACAGACTCTATATAATTTTCGGTACTAAATTCCATTAGTTGTGGTGGAATTTCGGGGTAGTTTTGATGTGGGGGGGAGGAGGGGCTCTCCCCGACTCCCCCCCTACTAAAGATTTTAGACGGAAATGCATGTTTTTTTTTTAATTACCCTAACCTAAAAATTCATATTTTTTAGAATACATGAACTAGGGAAGTAAGAACCAGTAGTTCTGCCTTATCTCCAGCGCTGCGGGAATAGCAGCCCCACTGGCAGCCTCAGGCGCTACGGGTCGCACGATGCTTGCGAGTTTGTCACAGCAGGCGGGGGCTGCTCTCCGTACGCGCCTCCGGGCTCTAAAAACACTCTAGGGGTAGGGCAGACCAAGACCACGGCGTGTCGGGGTTGACCAAGTCGTTTCTGAATTAAGGATTGTTGAAAGCCACATTTACCTTTTTTTCTAAGTGTGGAGCCCATACTATTTCTTATTTACCAAGTAAATAATAGCAAATATATTTTTTACCGACGAACACAGACTGACTAAAATTTCTCATAACAAAAACACAAAACCGCGGGACATCTGTCATTTTGACAATAGTACGAACTTAATAAACATATTTTTTACCACAGACAACGAGAAACATGTTATTTCTGCATGAAAAAATGGCAGCACTGATCAAAATGGCTGTCAAAATTGACTTTAACCTACAAAAATATTAATTTTCAATATTTTTTTTTCTCGAGTTCTATTCGTTTCCGTATAAAAAGATTTGTTTAACGTAATACGTGTACGTGTTCCTAATAATTAATACTTTCCGTGACAAAAATCTCAGCTCGGTACTCAACCACAACTAATGGAAAGCTGATCCTAATTTTCTCCGAAATGGGAAATTTACGCATCTGTCGCTAGATCTTCCGTAAAATAACTGAAGAAACACCTAATCTTTTTGTTGAAAAATTCGAATATGTATATCGAAATCAATCATAAGAGTTCCACCTCATTAGCTTCGGATTAAAGTATCAAAACGATAATAAAAAGCCGGACATGTGCGAATTGGACTCGCCACAAAATTATGTCTATTTTGTGGACTCGGCCACCTATGGTCCCGTGCAAATTTATAGGTTAAACAGCCGTATCTTTTATTACGTTAACATAGAAGTTAAATTTTTTCATAGCTTCAAGGGACCGTAGACTTGAGAAAACGGTTTAGATTTCACCTCGATAGATAGATAGATGAATCATTTATTCCCATTAGTACAGCACACAAATTCAAGTAAACAAATAGAAGAATTATTATTAGAATAATATAGGTAATAATTAATTATTAGACAGAAAAAGGCAAAAACTCAGCGATAATTTTGCTCAGAGAGCAAAGCACTGGTTTACAGTTCTGCCTAGAAAGCGAGTAACGTGAAACGATACTGACGCGATTAATACAAATAACTAATTTTGTTATTATTGTTATAACAATTATAACAATATATGTATCTTATTATTATAAGTTCACAAAAAATGTTTCTTTTGCGTTTCAAATCCATCTAGGACTATATGGGATTCAAAAGTAATTGTGTAGTGTAAAAAGGTCTAATATTACAAAGAACAATATTGAATTTCTCCTCTTCTGAGGGTGACTTTGATAAACGAGTAAAATAGTTGTTACTATTATTATTACTGATTTAGTAATTAGATTAATATTGAATTAATATTTACCCATCACTATTTAGACACAAATTGTGACACACCTTTTAGAAAGCGGCAGAAACCGATACACAGACAGACGGTCAACAAAGTGATCCTATCAGGGTTCCTTTTTTTTCCTTTAACCCTAGAAATATCTCCTTTTAACAAGTAAACTACAACAAGACACCTCTTAAGGTGCGGTCAGAGTTGCTAAACGTATGACAATTCTAACGTTTGAGATTTAGCAGTATCTATACATGATACGAGTTATAAATAGAAATCTCGTACACTTTGTGATGGCATAATGAAGCTATACTTACTCAGTCGATCCTTCGTGGACTGGATAATTTATTACATTTTTTTATATTTTTGGTTTGTGTACATGACACAAACAGTCAATATTGTCCAAATCTGACATCAAAGTGTACGAGATTTCTATTTAGATTCATTAGAAACTTTGAATGATTGTTGAAGTGAGAAATTGGCAATATAAAATCCGAATAAAATAAGTTAAGGATTTATTTACTTACATTTAATTAATAAATTGGTTGTCCGAAATAGACTTGAGCTGCTCGAATGAACAGAATCGGCTCGAATTTCAAGTTTCCGATCACGATAATTAAACAATGTTAGCGGAAAGAAATTAATGAATAAAATTATAAAGCGTTTACTTAATAAAATAAATAAAATAGCATGTCTAAGTCTTGTATTTAGTATACGTCAAGGTTTATTTTTAAACGGAGTCTGAGTCATTACGTATTTCAAATTTAAATAACCACATGCATATTCTACGTTAACAAAGGCCCGTATTATAGAAAGATTCTCAGTGATTGATCTAGTCTTGAGCATAGTTAGAAAGGGATGTCGCTATATATAGCACATAGCGACATCCCTTTCTAACTGTACTCAAGTAAAGATCGACACTTAGTTGTTATTCTGTAATACGGGCCTAAGTGAGTTAGGTCGGCATAGCTCGGTTTCCACCGCATAGGTACTTTCTATAAATAAAAATTTGATTGCCAACTAATGACAAGCACATGCCTAACGTAATATAGCTAACGTTAAATTCTATGGAGCTAAAAGTACCAACCTACATTTTTGGTCACCTATCCTAATACCGACTATAACAAAAGTTGTTTAACTTCTGTAATCGTTATTAAGAGGTTCACATTTAGGAATTTCAAAAGTCCTGACAAAAATCCGGACTTTTTAGTCACAGAATGGTACCATTACTCACTTAGCTACAATGGTATAGTATTTAAATCAATATGTACTTTTATTATGCATATTCAATTTAATTTATAAAATCCGGACAATTTAAAGATCCGGACAAAGCCCGGACTATAGGCCAAACGTCCGGGCATGTCCGGTCTAATCCGGACGGATGGTAACCCTAGTTCCAACCGAGTGTTTAAAGGCACGTTAGACTTTTTGGCGGGATCGGGAAGAGTCACTTTAGCAGTTTTGTTTTTCTTGTTAAAAATTGTGTTGTGGCGGATGTTAGTGTCTAATAATGGTGGATTATTAACCACTAAGTGTTCGGAAACATGCACAAGTGTTGGCAAGTGAAACAAAATAGCGGAAGGTGTCTTTCGACATTCCCTCAAGAAGTCCACGGGGAGGTTCCAGTAAATCCCCACACATTTACTGAAACATAGGGAAAGGTGGATTGACTTGACTGCCACTTACTTAGACTTGACTAATATTTTGACCACGAGTGCTATAGAATATATAAACATTTTACACTTGACATTGGCTAAATGCACAAACCGTGCGAAGCCATATAGAAAAAAAGGCACGTTTGCTATTTTAATCGATTGTCTATATAATTTAACAATACTTTTAGGAATAATGGTGTCGATTCCGGCGTGATTCTCTAAACTTAAAACTAAATTTAACATCAGTCTGTCCTTTTCATACTGTATAGAGAATGACAAGGATACGCTGTTGTCAAATTTAAGTTTAGATTTAGAGAATCGTGCCAGAATCGACACCAATATATTGTTATAATGATACAAACAACAATCAATGTTGTCTATTAAATCAACCATTGTTCGACCTTTAAACGCGGTTCGCATCATGAAACAAGAAAAAATGTAGACACCTACGCGAACCGAAAGCGCTGCGAAGCTAAATATTTTGTAATGAACAACCGTGTACCTACGAGTATTATTATTCAGCTTTAAATTCTCTCCGCGCCGCTGCGTCGCGTCGCGTCGTTCGACTTGAAGTAGTCACGTGATGCGAAAGCGGACCGACCGACCGTGACGTCATACCGCGAAGCGAGTGCGAGCGAGACAGTTGTATCAGCCGAATGAACGATGTCAGAGCGAGAGCGAGCGCGACCACGAGTCAATGCGTGACGCTACACCAAAGCGAAGCGCACAGTTCGGTTGTGTGTTTGGATAAGATTATTCGCCACGCGGAGAGATGGACATCGAAGAATTTATAGAATGTGTGAAGAAGTATCCGATATTATATAACACGAGGCACAAGGAATATAAAAATCTGGCGAAAAAAGCAGATGTTTGGGAAATAGTTGCGAGCGAAATGGGTGAATCAAGTAAGTATCTACTGTATATACTTTGCTCAATTCACCCAGTATGTTTTAGGGTTCCGCATCCAAAGGGTAAAAACGGGACTCTATTACGAAGACTGAACTGTCCGTCTGTCTGTTACCAGGCTGTGTCTGATTAACCGTGATAGCTAGACAGTTGAAATTTTCATAAATTAGGTACCTATTTCTATTGCCGATATAATAGCAAATACTAAATATCGAATAAAAAATATTTCAGGGGGCTATTTTTTTGCCGTTTTTTGCTCTATATTAATAATGGAAACAAGTAGACGCTTGGTATATTCACAGAATATTTAGATATAATATATTCACTTTAAAAATAAACAATTAAAATAAAATAAATATTTCAGGGTTGCTCCCGTATAAAACAGATATATTATTTTCCGATTGTCGCTCGATATTATAATAATGGTGTCTAATCATTGCGAGTCCAACTCGCACTTGACCGGTTTTTTGTCAACTTAGACGATGTCATTTTTACTATACTTTATTGGAACGAACGAAAGTTCCTTACAGCAGGCTTGGAGGGGATAGGGATTTTGCTGCGCGACCGAACTGAAAAAAATGTGATATTAAAACCGTAATAAAAAATGCGTGGAATAAAACCGTTAAATGAGACGTGCGCAGGCGCGACGAAGTTCCTTACGGCAGGAGAGAGAGCGACGAGGGTGCATCACTGAAATATTGTGATATTACACCAACACTGAATATGTGTGAAGTTATAGGGAGTGGTTTTTTTATATGTACACCAATTAAGTAAAGATTCCTGATCCGATTTGCAGATTCTTTTTCGTTCGATGGAAGATACTTGCCATTTGATCTCATAAACCTTTGACTAGTTTATACCTATTATACGTAGCATTCTTTTTTAATTGGATGATATAATTTTTGCGATACGTAGCTCAGCGGTTTATCATTTTGACTAGTGATTTTTATCTGTAGGTGATTAACACTAAAATGGATGAAATAATACATTATTATTTGTAAACAAAAAATAAAAACCGATCGTACTGGGACCCGCCCGATTTTGTTTGAACCAGTTTTCTTTTTAATTTTTAGTTCCATTTTGCGATTTTGAATTTGGTTTATATTCATTGTTTTAAAATATTATTATTCGGAGGAATATTCAGGAGGCACGCACTGACGACTTTTTTTATGTTCTTTCCTTTCGCGGGCCTGCTGGAAGAAATTTCAATATGAAATAAGCAGTGCCCTTGCAGAAATTTCTCGTTCTTGTTCTACTTATCTGTTTTATTGTGAGTGTACTAAATTAGTAAATAAATATATAAAAATCGTCGAGGTAAACTTAACCCAAGTGTGTAAAATTTATACATTTATACTTACAAGCTGCATCTTTGATGTTCTGTAAACCCGCTGACCGCTAAATAGAAGGAAAAGTAATAAATAATTTGATATTGTGTTGTATTGTGATGTGCGTGAAAACCTAAGAAACAAATATGATATTGTGTACCTTTAAAAACTAAGTATTTAACATAAACATATTTCGTTTCATTTATTAATGCATATTTTATTTTTTAGGTGAGGTATTGCGCACAAAATGGAAAGGATTAAAAGATGGTTACACTAAATATAAAAAACAAAACCAAGGAGAGGGTGGTACATTCAGTTCTAAGACATTTATTAACTGGCGCTGGGGTCCGAATTTGACATTCCTGGATGATTTCGTAAGGGAGAAACCACCAAACACAACTAATAATCGTAGAGATTCTGCTACTGATATATCTATATTGTCACAGGATGATAGTGTTTCGCATTCTCCAGTATCTGAATCGTCACATCATCAAACAATACCTGTCACTTTAATACTTGAATCTATGGACGATGACACATTAGAATACGATCAATGTATTTCATTGGATCCAATCATATCAACACCCACTCCACCTAAAGTAGTAAAGTTGGCACCTCGACCGTCACACAAAGTATCTGGATCATCTCAAAGTCCAGCTGTTTCGACAAAACAAGACGACGATGTTGAGAAGATACTTAGCTTCCTGCGAAGTAAACATAATGACATTAAAAAATGCGATGCAGTTGATGATCTCTTCAAAAGTTACGCTAAAACGTTCAGAAATTTCTCAGTACAAACTCAGACAGTGTTGAAAGTGGAAATGGCAAAATTGTTTGCGAATGCAGAACTGCGCGAATATAAAATGAATAACAATTGATCGACAACACGATACCTTTTTAGCTGATAACGTTAATTGAAATTGTACAATAGTAAAATATTAAATTCGGTTATTAATAAAATTCTGTTAACAATGCATAAGTTGAAGTTTAATCAATGTCATCTATGTGGAATACAATTAGCTATCTCCACGATGAATACACAGATCAAACTTAAACATGAAAATATTTGAGGTAATTGTGAATATGTAAATAGATAAATATTACGAATTATTTCACCACTAACCGAAAAGATGATCTTTGATAAGTTTTGAGGCGGATCAATACTGTTTTTTTTATTAAGTAAATAATTTTGTTTGTGTGGTACTTTATGAAACATATAAAAGTACTTGAACGATATTTTCCATATTTATTTACCACTTGTTCTTTAGAGCCGTGGAACCTTACTCACCCAAAGAAATATTATACCACCAAGAGTTTAGTAGTGTTTTTTCATTGTGGTCTTCTGCGAAATGCAGGTTACTTTTCCAGGCGGATGCTCCAATTCGAGACCGTTATCTACTAAGCCTTACCCTGGAAGATATAAACAGAAACTGCTGAAAATACTTTCTTTATAATATAAACTTTTACACCAATACATTTGAATATTTTAATGGAAATTAAAGAACCATTTTCTCTACCGATAGGGATGAATATAAAAAACGATGCAACCTTAACACCTATCATAATACCTTATAATTTGCGATTGTTAAGTCGTAAATCATGTTCATTATTATTAATGAAAATCAGAGCATGATTATTTGTCAAATTGTCAATGTGATAGCACGTTCTGCTTTGAATGGTTTTGAATGAACGGCATCGCTTTTATCATATGACAAACGAATGTTGACATTATATTATTTGGAAGGTATTATGTTAGGCATTGAAAATAGATTAATTTGCTTCCAGTCCATTCAAAGGGAGAAAAGCTGGCGCAAAGGGAAATGAAAAAGGCTTCGAAAAGTATCTACACATTTTAAAAAACATGCATTTGATGCCTTTGTAAAGTTGTTTTAAAGCCATCCTTAGCAAGGTGCGATGTGACGACAGTTCGTTAAACGGGGATTTGTCAATCTACAAGCGAAAGTATAAATCTTCCTTCCTTAATGATATGAGTCCCTATAAATAAGCATTCACTGTCCGTTTTTGTGTCCGTCTTTTCTATCAATAGCTCAGTAAACAAACAGTTCAATTGTCATATCTAATAGATAATCAACGTAAATGAAATGCGATTTTTCCGACTCGTTTGCTGGAATTGGCATGTTTTTTTTTAATTAGTAAACAAGTTTAATCATACTATAGGATGCAAAGTGCAAAACCAAAGCTAAAGTAGACTATGTGGGCCTAACCCGTGAAGTTTCAATCTACAGTAGGCAGCTGGAGTGCCGTCGAAAGGACTGTCTCCGAAAGTCAAGGGGGCATTTTTTTTTGAGTCTGTATGCTGTTGGTCGCAAATGACCTTTACAGCGTCACCGGGTTTGGGGACGGCGAGATCCTAAGAAAATCCGAGAATTGGCGAGTACCTCTAGAGTTATTCCAGACTGATGGCATCTTCCCACGGGGGGAGTCTCCCCTCCGTCTGGAGCCTCTAGGCCACTCGAACCTAAGGGGTCAAGGGGGCAAGTGTCTTAAAGTACATCCACATAAATAAAGTAAACACACATGTACGCGGCTACATGTGGGCCCGCGGATAAATACATATGTATATTTTTTAAAAGTTTTACTGTGTTAAAAGGGTGGCAAACAATCACATGACCTACTTGATGGTAAGCAGCCATCATAGCCTATGGACGCTTGCAATACCAAAAATATTATTCAAACCGTTGAAAATCGGAGAATCCACTAAGTCCTACCTCTCTTAAAATGTCCTCTGTGGAACCTTGTAAAGTGCCTTTGAATATACTGCCATAAGACTGTTCCAATTAAAAAGGCATTGTTATTGCACTCGTTTTCAGTAGCGTGTCTAGGAGTTCAGACTTAGGGCAAACCCGGAGCTCGAAAAGCACTTGCCACAGTGCTGTGATTTATCGAGGATTCGCGAAAAAACTAAATGAATGGAAGGAATTCCGCGAATTACATAAATTACTGAAAAGGAGAATGGGCAAATTGGTCTACCTTCTCAACACCTACGAGCCATGTATAAATGAAAAAGACATTTATTATACTATAATTTTTGTATGACCGCAAATGTGGAGCTCATGGGGCTCCTCCTCTTTTAATGGGAACAGAATTTACTACTAATGGTCTATAGTGCGACAGGGTTTGACGGGGGAGAGGGTAGGGAGTGGGGTTGGCTTGAATTCCCGACGCAAGTGCAGGTACAAATCTTGTTTGCAGCACTTTTTCTCATTTTTTTATTATTGGGTTCGCTACCACTTTCTCTTTTATTTAGCATAGATGGCGTTGGTGTTGAGTAGGTAGACCAAAGTTTATAATTATTTTTGCCCATTCTCCTTTAAAAGAGTTGATAGCATAAAGGCGCTTTATGGAAAAGACGGTTTTACCAGGGCCAGCTAATCTTAGCCGCGTAACATGAACAAACTTGTTCATGATTCAAAATTCCGGTCGATTACAAACCTCCATAGTGTCCAATACCTAACTGACGACCGTAGACACCGTTAAAAACCTTGTCTAGACCTGGTAAGAAATCGTCCGTCCGTCGTTAATAAGCGCTCTTTGGCGAGTAGTTCTTAATGTATCTATTATTAATGGAGCCAACACTTTATATTCACTCCATTAACTCGTCACTACCAAACTAAACGTCTGATCGTAAAGCCTCATAAACACGTTATTATTCATAGCCGCAAATACTTCTTTACGGCCTTCATATCGTCCCACAACTAGGAATATTAAATATAAACATACCATTAAAACCATCCAAGCTTTCAGCACCCCTTTCATTTCCACCCACTGCCTCTGCAATCCTTAATCCAGTGATTTTATGAACGAAATGAGTTTCTTGTTTAGCCGAATGAGAAATTTATACATTTACGTTTATTTGCATGTTCCAGTTCTCAGTTAGTATATGCTTGAAACGGTGTATTATAAGTTCGGATAATCGGATGCATATTTACCTAAAGTTGAGATGTTGGCTATTATGCAAAGGGAGAAAGCACTTTTTTATCAAGAAAAAAATCCGCCATTCCAGGTAATTGTTTACTCCGTGAGATCTAATAAATCCAGATTGACACAAATGACAGTTGCCCTATGTGTATCACACTAATATTATATAGGCGGAAGTTTGTGAGTATGTATGTTTGTTACATCTGGTGGGAGCGATTTTAATAAAATTTGGTATGGAATTAGTTGACACCCTGGATTAACACATAGACTATGTTTTACTGCGGGAAAATATCCCTAATAAACCGCGGGTAACACCAGGGGGCACAGCTTATAATATAAAATTTTTGTGTAAGATGTCCTTAATGATGGCGCGATTATATTTGGTCGTTAACCCAAATAGGAGTACCAATGGAATTCGGCTAAACTAAAAGCCAGCCATACACGCTATGGTATACCTCACAGATTTACCTGTATACATGCGCGGACAGTCGACAGCAGTTGCCGCGACCACACCCGCACTCCCGGCATGCATTGGGGGGAGTGCAGTCCTCAGAATGTACGCCGGGTGACTGTTACAGGAGTATTGTCTGGTTTTTAGTGGCCCTGTTCAGGGCGTTAGGTAGGGCCCTGCTCATTTCACCTGGTCTAAGGGTTGACTGAAATGAGCAGCAGAGCAGGGAGAGTCCCACATACCTTCTTCTCGCTCCCCCGGTGGTTGAAGGATGCGCAAAGCATTTCCCAGACAAAAAAAAAGGTTTACCTGTACAGTTCAGCTGCACAGGTAAACCGGAGCGTGTATGGCGTGGAAACCTGCGCAGTTATGTGCCATACACCCGGTTTAACTGTACAGGTAAACCCTAGCGTGTATGGCTGGCTAGTGTAAATTAACGGAGTCGAATACGGCTGTATTCGGGTAGTTTTCGTATTGGTTACCCTACACCGTCTTCCAATCGGTATTCCAGTGTATACAGTATTTTATAAAGTGTTTATATATTATGTGTATGCAAATATAAAGAAGATTATTATAGACTGTTAATTTAAGCATTCCTAAAGTTCGTACTCCATATTCGCTGCCAAAAATTAAGGATTGACTCGGCGAGTTAGGTTCATCTTAAAGTTTGATGCAAACTTAAATATTTAACACTGAATTTAAGAAACACCAGGTGCAAATGACCATTAGTGCGCGTGGCACAACACGCACTTGGCCGGTATTTTTAATAATATTAATAATTGAAATGAACATAACTCTTTTCTTTCTACACATGCAACTTCTGGACTAATTACACCCTGAAATCGTATGACGCCCTTCGAATTCAGTTCAACAAGGCGTTTAATTTAAATGTTGATGGGGCTCCCGCGTTTTTGTAGCGCCTCGACAATGTTTGCGGAAGCTCGAACAGATTGTTTTTATGCCATAATGCGCAAGCGTGGTGCTTCGTTGGTGCGGCGAATGCGGGGGAGTGCCAAAGGCATGCTAGATGTGCAAGCAGACAGGCTTGACTGCCCATATATCAACCACTTCTGCAGACATAAAAAAAAACGACGGGTTGCACTCCGGGAGTGCCGGCAGAAGTGAAAACTTGAATATTAACGTTGTGCATTTTTGATATTTTGGAATGGTTAGGGAATAATTTTGCACGAATTGCTTTAATTGTAGTAGATTACGATATTTATTTATTGCGCTATCGTACACAAACATGACAATTTATATTACATTAAAAAAGTTTATCTCTCAGAAAAATCAACTTACGTGAATCACGTAAGCGCACTTAGCGGCATCTATTGTAAAGAAATCAACTTACATGAATCACATTTAAGCGCACCTAGCGACATCTGCTGTAAAAAAATGCATTTTCTTCGCAATAAAGCTGCCACGTGGTCCTAGATAGAGACTTATTATTATAATACGGTAAAATAAAATATGACTATGTTTCGTCCAATATATTGAAAATCAACAATCTTTCCAATTTTATTGTGTCTCACGATGCGATCAGCCCACGTGTTTAACCTGACGCGATTTTAACATTTTTAACCCTTACAAAAAAAGTGTACAACGCCGCTAAAGAAGTTTTCACTTCAAACAAACAAAAAATATATAGAGAAAGCGTTGGTGCAACTCTACCAACTATTAGCTTAAGGATTGCTCAGTTGCGCTTACTGCTAATATTCACTACCGCCAATAATCTAATAAAAAAAAACCGGCCAAGTGTTAGTCCGACTCGCGCACTGAGGGTTCTGTACAAACTCAATTTAATACCTCTACGCATTCATGAGAAAAGAGGTAGTAACTTTAAAATTATCAAAAACATGTTTTATTACATGATGTAACAAAAAAAATACGGTTTTCGCTATTTATCATTTATCTGTACTATAAGGCATTACCTCGTACCAAATTTCAAGATTCTAAGTTCACAGGAGGTACCCTGATGGTTTTGATTGCCGTGCGAG